AAACTATTATCGAAATTGTGCGAAACTTTGCTCCTGTTGACGCAGGATATTCACTTGACCGTGGGATTTGTGAGAAAATATTATGTACATCCGTATGCAAAACAAATCACAAACCACGTGGCTTAACAACCAAACATTATCGCCGATTTTCTCAAATAGTCTTTAGTCAATTGCATATATTCATTTCATCAAATGAATTAATACTTRTTTTAACGAAACCCGCTTCCACATAACTCTGGTGGCCCCATCGTAACCCTCTCTAGTGGAATGGACCCACCTCCAATGGACCCACCTCTAATGGACCAGCATCTCGTGGCCCCATGCACACGCATCTGGTGGCCCCTTGACTATAACGCCTGAACRAAGCAAGCTATGGTAACGAAATTCCGTAAGATGGGCAAACCTTGTGTTATCAGTCATCTGACCACGTGACATGACTGACGTCATATATCACGTGACTTACGAGCTATTGCATGTAATCATGTCGTTAAACGAAGAAAATGTATTTTAACGAACCTCGCTTGCATGTACCTTTCGTTTCCCCTTCGTCTGAACAAATCCTAAATGCCTTATGATCCAGTACTACTGTGACAGTAGTGTGTTCTCCTATGTGACGACGTCACGCCATGCATGTAACGTGATCAGATGACTGACAACACCCATCGTACCAAGTTTCGTTACCATAGCATTCATTTTAGTGAGTATATTTTCAAAAATCGGCGATAATGTTTTGTTCGTAGGTCAAGTGATATATGATTGACAACACAAGTTCTACCAATGCCACCAAGTTTCTTTACCTTAGAATGCTTCGTTCCTGGGTTATGGCCAAGCGCCACCAGATGCGTGTGGGGTCACGAGATACTGGCCACCAGATGTAGGTGGCACGTGCTAACCCCTTCTCATATCTGAGTCTCTAAGAATSTAAAGAARAWGTGGAAATAAGCTGCAAAATTTCAAACGACAGTGTTGAAAGGCATTTAAGGCAGAGCAKTTATGCCATTCTGATCAATCTGGAACTTCAAATTCMAATTCCAATTCCAATTCTGGTCCGGAATTTGGCATTTGTAATAATGTTGTCGCGACGCTAGCGTTCATAAACATGCAAATTTGCATGAGAATTTTATAGCTCGCTTTAAAATCGAAATTCTTCATTTAAAACGTAAATACAGACTAATATTTCTTGAAGATCCCTCTCAGAATTGCTTTACCTTTTTATAATTTATCAATAATTTTTAAAGATTCGTCATTTTTTGAAGAAAATTAAAGGAGATCATATAACTCTTTGTACGACGAAGATCAAACCATGGAATGTGCTCAGCAAATTAATTCTTCTTTAATCAAATACAATCTTTCCTAGAATCTTTTATCTAAAAATTAATATTACTAGGCACCTCATGTTCCTTTGTCTAGAAGAACTAGCGTGAATTAACATTCTCTATCTTTCTATCAAACAAATAAAAGAGAAATTTCCGACCCCCGCGATGARWGTGATCRACGGAACTTCGAAATGTCCGGGGGGAAAACGTCCAAACGGATTTAGCATTTTAAAGCGTTTCAATCTGTAAGTTAGCCTTTCGATCTTTTGGCCCATTTTCCAACTGCTACGGTGGTTTACTCATATCAACCAGAACAAAAATCCCGAAGCAATCCATTGGTTGCTATGAGACGACACGAATGGAAGCAACACACTGTCCTCGATTACAAGGTTTGAAACAATAGAGACACCCTCTCCCTCCTGCACTTGAACTATATGACGATAAAAACCCTTTAAATCACGAGTTAAAACCAGCCAAACCTTTAACGAACTGAACATGTGTACTTGAAGGTGCAGAGAGATTGTTTTGTCTTTTTTGAGGGAGGGGTGGGGGGTGTTTTTCAATACCGGAATCTAGGAAAAATTCATTCAATATGCCGACGGGGAGGGGGGAGTACGGGGGAGGGAAGGAGGAAAGTAAACAAACCATGAAAAATTTCAAGATCAAATTAGGAGTCAACCTCTTATGAATAATAAACTTAAGAGCCCCTACCCCCCCCCTCCCCTCCCGACTTTCATTTGTTTAGCTTTTAGTGTCTTTTGATCATTCAAGAGCAAAGACATTCGAATGCGATGATGTGTACAAAGCTCCTCGCTGATGAAACTCATTTTAAAAAATTTTGATCATTTGTTTTTCCGCGGTCTTCTTACTTCCCACCCTCCACCTGCTCCATAGCAGCGAGTTTCAAATTATTTTGCAAGCTGATCCGATTTTGATCATTGCTATATTTAAAGGTAGTTTGGCTATAAAAACTACTACAAATAAATATGAGGTACCCAGACGTTTATTCGAGTTTTCATTTTGTTTTGAAGAAGTAAGAATCCAATGACAGATAATAAATTGATAAATATATTTCTGTTCCCTGGTAGCAGAGTCTCCCTCATTGRCGATTCTTAGCAAAGAAAATTCTCTACTAAAAATCGACGAAGAGGGAAACTCTGCTAGCAGGAAACAAATTCTGAAGCAACTTAGGCATGCATGGCTTGACACTCAGATCGATCTTRGAGTTTGACGGCCTGCTAGAATTTGGATATTTTTGTGTGATTTTGTCATAAATATCATATCCAAAATGATTTTCATCCTACATTAGTAGCTCTATTCCAATCTTTCGGACTGTTCTAGCAGCTTACTTGGCATTAGAGCTCGATACTTTGAAATCMTTCAAAAGAGCTTTGCAGCAAAAAAACATGCAATAGCACCCTTAAATAATGAGTTTTATAAATGAACATGTTTATTTTATATTTTAACATGTAATTAGGATACATTATTAGCATAGGTAGATAGATAGGTAGGTAGATATTACTATAGGTAGATAGCATATGTAATTTTATATTATTACATATATAAATAGATAGTTTTATATTCTTTATTTGTATTTATTGTTTAAATTTTAGCATGGTACGCCTGAAAAGCAGTGTAACTGAGTCGTTAACCGTGGATAAATAAAGTTCATTCATTCATTCATTCATTCATTCATTCATTCATTCATTCAT